AAGAACTATTTTGCTCTGCGCCACATCATTTCTAGGTTAGGGCTATCTCAGCCTCAAGAAACAGTATTTGACAATGGTATCGACGTTAATTATGGGCAAACTTGCCATTTCCTTCATTCTGTTACTGACTGTAAGTCGCTTCAAGTTGAACATCTTGGAACAAGTAAATTGTCAAGTTATTTCGTTTGGAAAATTGTAACCACATTCCACGTTGGAAGACGCTTATATTCTATGATGAGAATAGAACACAAGTACCAGAACCCTGATTGCTACGTGAGGAAAGCAGATCTATAGATACCATTGTATCAGTATGAGGAACTCCGTCCTTTGCAATTTTCCCAGGTGCGTTCAACTACTTCCTTTAGTCAGCGCATGCTGGTGTGTAAGCTCAATAGACCTATGTTGGAAGATATCGTTTGTGAAAAACAACTATGTATATTTTGAAATGTAACTAGGCGTGAGTCGATTCTCGCACTGTCGAGACATAAAGGCATCTCTGCTGCATTGTGTAAGTGCACACCGATCAGCTTGGTGATGTGCAGTGGTTCACATGCGGCTTCCCGGTGACATCACAGGCAACCATGACCCGGCAATTGTACGAGCAAGGCCATTTTGTGCCCCAAGAAATAGTTACCACATTAAGCGCCTAGACCTCATAATCGTTGACCGGTTTACTCCGATTTGCGTTACCGACTATCGGGCGTGCTATTGGCAAAGCGTACTTCCTGGCCAGCAGTTGGTGACCTCAGACATTAACATTCTCAACCAGTTTTCGTGCGAGTGAGATAGTCCGGCCACAAATGCATAGATTTCTCACAATACCCACCCCCTTTTCAAATTAACTTAGGCCGACCGAACAATGAATCCACTAAGCTACTGGTCGCAATCAGGACCGATGCCAACGTGAAAAAACGAATGTAAATGAGCTATTGACGAACATAAGTGGGAAATGGTATAGTCGCTGTACAAATCGATGGATGTCATATAGATCCGCCATCTTGACAGCCATCTTGTTTTGCTAACATGCCACGATAAATCGTGGCAGCTACCAGCCGCCTATCCGATTACCGACCAGATGAATAACACGGGTTTCCACTTATCAACTTTAGTATTGCGTGGCTCTCCCTGACGCAATCGGAACACGTCTGGCGCTTACGGAGATTTGGATGGATAAAAGAAGCTTAAACCAGTCTTGATTTCCACTCAACCAAAAGGATTATTCGAATGCATAGACGGTGGATCCTAATTATTGTCCTCTTGCTTCTCCTGTAGCAGTGCACACTCATCCATTTTTTATATTTGAACTCGAGTTTCCGATGTCCCTAATGAAGTCTCACAATATTCATCAAGCAAGGAGAAATGTACTTTCCACGACACCAGAAAATGGAATAAATGCGAGGTCTCAAAGGAAAAGCAAAAGCTGTCACTTTCCAATCAATAAGCACATTTCAGAATAATATGATGAATTGCGCCATTTGAAATTTCAACTTAATGAAAAGAAAAACTTTGGTAACCTATGAACTTTCGGAAAATTATCCGATTTCGCTTGAATATGTCAGTAACGTATTGTAGGAAGATTATTTCCTTTTGGTGGTTAGTTGTTGCTCCTCCCAAACCTGACACCCCATAACCGGTTTCGTCCTCCTTTGGACTTATCAGATGGAGATAGCCTGAGTTGGGTTGGACTTCGCGACATAGTGTTCAAAGGTTGGCACCTTGACCACTATGGCTCCTAGATCCGCGAGCAACACTTTCGTTTTGTTTCGAAAAGCAGGGCATCTATTTGACTCTGAGGCCTTAAAATTGTGCTGACGAACCTTAGGGTAAAACAACTTGTCGCTGTTAACTTTCCGGCAAGGTTAAGTCTGAATAAATTCAATGTGACGATAACGATACCGTTCCGTAGACGATATCCAGGTATTCAGTTTGACAGAAATTCAAATCGCACAGCTAGTGGCACGTTTTAACCCTGCGTATGCCAATTTGATGGTTTCCAGTGAAATCGAATAACAGAACTGTCTTCCATATTTGGATGTTCTTATCAGCCGCAGGGAGGAGGGACTGGTAAAACGGTCTGTCTATCAAAAAACAACATGGTCTTGACAGTATCTGCATTTTAGCAGCTTTACGCCAATGCGGCGCAAGCGAACACTTGTGAGGACCATGTTTAGTCGCGCCAGACGAATTTGTTCCAGCGATTGTCTAGCTGATGAACTAGAATTAATTACCAACACGTTAATTGCCAATGGCTACCCTCGCAAGTTCATCCGAAGGCACAGAGTAAAATTCCTGCAATGAAAGTTGCTATACCTACCGTGCCTAAGAAAAAGGTATTCTTGGAGCTGCCTTTTAAGGGTGACATGGCTTCTTTGAGGACCAGAAGACGTCGGATTTCCGCCACAAAGAGCACTTTCTGCGCTGCCGAAGTTGTAATCATCGACCGAACTCATAACCTACCGTTGCCTCCACTAAAGGAAACTCAGCCTATTGGCGCCAACTCCCACTGCGTATATCAATTCGTATGTAACTGCGGGGATAGTTACATAGGCAAAACCAATAGAACACTGAGTTCCCGAATTATGGAGCATGTACCAAAATGGGTTCAGTGCGGACTTATTCAGCAAGCAAGCCCAACTCAGACTACATGCGTACGCAGGCCGCCAGCATCTTCGATCGGCAGGCACTTATTGACATCGGGTCCCCGAATTGAGGTCAACAAGGCGTTTCGAATCCTGCTTCGCCATACTAATTCCCGGCTCCTCCGGTTTGCCGAGGCTATTGCCATTAATCGGATTAAGCCAGAGCTTTGTGTTCAAAAACAATCATCTGTCTGCCTCAGGCTGCCCTGGTTGTAGAACAAAGACACTCCTTTTGTTCTCTCCTCCGTTTGTAGGTATGTCGGTACCCACAAACTCTTACTTAAAATTACCGGTTTTCGTTATCGGCACAGACGAGCCGATACGAAATGCATACAACTGCCGAGCTTCGTCTTCTAATTGTGCTTTTCAAGTTACTAAAGGGAACTAACTGTTTTAAATCTAATGTTCACAAACGAACCGCGGTTTCGCTGAATTTGAATTTTCTCCTCTTTGCGGACGCTCTCAAGATTTGAGGACAATCAAACGTGTAGACGACCAAATGACACTGCAAGGGGATTTCAACTGGGCATACGAGTGACCATGTTTGAGTTTAACTCTGTCATTGCAATCTTTTGCGCATACGCAACCAGAGCATCTACGAACATAGCCTGGGAGCACACGTTCAACAGCACGCTTTACAGGCGCGCGTTATTGGAATTCTCTTGCAGGACGATCTTGGATGCTCAAAGTAGGCCGAAATGGCAATGAAAATTATCAGCCAACAATCAGGCTTACTGCGGAGGGCGTTTGGTCGGTTTGATCCTACCTTATTTTCACAAATGCTAAATGCTCGCCCGAAACACTACGCTGAATGCACCATTCAGGTGTAGAAACCATGTCAAAAAACGTGAACTAATTGAATTTGAGAATCCACAACGCTGGGCGACTAAATACTTTCTAGGATTGCGCCATCTCAATTATAAAGTAAGACTAATGACTCTATGGGTTTTTAGTAAACAATATCGTTTTCTGCAACGTGACCTCATATTGCTATATCAGATTTCCATGGATTTGAACCATCCAGGCGAAGCTTTATTTAAACTCATCCAGAACACCTCACTGAGAGGCCATCATTTGAGGATGGCGAACCAGTATAGTTGTTTGGAATGCTGCCAGATGTTTTAATTGCTTTAACTATTCCAGCCATAAAAGTTACTTCCGCATTCTGTCTTATGTGCTCCTACGTTGTCCGAATAGAAAACTCGGCTTGCTGATGCATTACGGCACCTGCAATACATGACATGACCGAAGTTACTGGGACACGGGACAACGTAACCAAACAATGTGCACACGTGAAATTTGTGATAATTCAACTGCTACGCGTTTTCTGCTACATTCCTTTCTACATTCACTCTTTACCTACGGAAAGCTTTCAAATGGATGCTTTTCTTTTTGCGATAATCCATTGTTCCTATGTACCTTCATGGAAATATTATGATAATTATGCTTGCATGAGAAAATACCTCGGTGAGATAGTACGAGGAGGACAGATAAATAGAGACACTTGCGTAACTTCTGTCATAACTATCCACCAAAAACCTATGACATGAATCGCATTCCCCGATATTCCAAGTATAATTATTGATTTTACAGGAGAATATTTACTCTTGTACAAGCATATTTGTGAACCTACAAACCTAACTTCTCGAATCGTGAGTGATGTACATAATATAATAAGTATTAAGGTTGTTATTATTAGACCAGTGCCTTCACGGGTTTCTCAAAAAAAAGCAAAATACTTCATTCGGACAAACGCAGGAGGAAACAGATCTATGGAATAGAAATACCAGCTGAAACTTACCTGCTGTAGGAAAACAATCCGATTATTCACTAGTATACATAGCACAAGTTGAAATATCCCTGTACAAGGCACAGTGCATAATCATATGCATTTCTGTAATCGGTCAGTGATGTATGTGACATCGCCTTAACAACCATCACAGCACAGTTATGCTTTAAGTAGCCTGCCTCGGTTGGATAGCTGTCCACAATCTTGTATTTCTGGCTTCGCTCTACAGATCACTTTGGTGGAAGAAATTATTTTGAGGTCAATATGAAGCTGCATTCCTGCTAACGTACCTTATTCTACTAGCAGTCAAGCTGAGCGCCGTACTCGCTTCAGGTGTGGAGATTAGCTGGCTGCGGAGTTGGAAGCAAGTGCATCATTGAATAAGGCCGATGATAAAGCATAAGCATGATTTGTCCGTAAAACTTCCAGAGATATCTCACATTCTCAATACACAAACTAGGCAATAAACTGACATGTTCAATATTGGGTAGAGTAAAGCGGATATATCGCATAAGTAGTAGATTTATAAGGAAGGACGAGTAGAGCGATGGACAACACCGAAACATACTCACCGTGTCGAGGGTTGCACTAGTAGTAGACACTTTGGTCGCACAGAATTGGGAATCGTGGTCGTATTCGCGACCAAATGCCTTGGAGCAAAACGTTTTGGATTTGACAATGAGAAAGGTGTATTCTGGTTTAATGAGACCTTGTTTAGACCCCTCCTGGGGCCAGCCGATATACAGACCTATGTCACCCTTCAAAGGGGTTCTTACTGAGGAGATTGGGTGACGCCACGTTTTTCCGTAATCCAACAGTATATCGTTCAGGTGCGCATGGTTCTCCAATTTTAGAATGGCGAGATTTCCACTGTGTCGCTGGTTCTCTACAAAGACAACATAACTCATAAATGAATCCGTGTGGATATAAGTGGAAATGTACTGCTTTCTAATTTGTTTGGATGTGTTTACAATCCAAATTGTTAATATATCTTGCCTATGGAATACCTTTCTTCTGATTCTGAATTTGCTTCTGAGCCACCATTCAATCAAAAGATTATGTGCAGTGACTTTAGTTTAACAGAGATTTCATGGACAGAGTGTACCGCACCAACAAGTCTGTTGGGCTGCTTTTCCACGTCCGGGCCCAAGGATGGACACAAGTGGTTCATAAACTTACCAGGGAAAACAATATTTTAGACCTCCGTTCGGTCCAAGTTATACACCTTACGTATATCATCTTTCTCAAGTACTGAGAGTAGAGTCACGTACCGTTGTATCCAGCACAGGATCAAGACTCACAATGTAACACAATATTGCTAATTGAGCATTCAAGGTACTTTAAAAATGGAACCTTGGGTACATTTGTTGTACAGCTACAGAAAGCAAAATGGGAACTTTGATTTCTAACCAGAGATCCACAGATTGCAGCAAAAGCAACTTACACTGATATTCAACACTGTCACCATATACTTTTATTAGTCCCACTGAAATCTCATAGGCGGTTTTCTACATTTACTACCCGCAAAGTATATCTTCTGAGTAACCTGACGCTCAAAATAAGGCATACTCGGGACTTCCGCTTGCTTGTCTGACAGGGTAAACTTTAAGAACATTCGCTGGGGATTCGTCCCAATGCTACTAGCAGGATTGGCAAATGACACTGTATCTAAAGCCTTGGTCAAGCTACTAAAGCTCAGAAACCACAGTCAAATTAAATCGGTATCATGCACTGTGCAACCGGACAGAACCGTCACCAGCGGCCCCGGCCAGAATAAGGGGCGTCATAAACGAACACTTTGTTTACTAGATCAAGCAACACATTTAAGCTCAGCGCTTCTGCTGATGGTAGAAGAGTGAGCATAGTACAGTGCGATTGCGACATCATTCAAGAAACATTTTCTCGGCTACATCACTCGTCTCATCCAGTACCTGATGATCCAGCAGTATGATTAAATATTGCGTGTTAGGTTCTTTGCTCCTTCTAATGTATACAAATGATATTGCCCTTGTTAGTCGCATTGGTCTGAGGCCAACGTAGGGTTAAATTATGGACGCGTGTTTTATGTGCACATCATTCCGGGTTGTTGTGCAATCCCAGTAGCAGACAGAAAATGTGGTTTGGGTTCTGTAGAATCTAGTAAACCATTATGAGTTCCCCCGGCAAAATCCGATATCGACTGCTGTACATTCTTAGAGGATACAGTCTAAGCTGATAGGGCAAATGAAAGCGTCCCCTGACGTTCTTGTTTGACCTTTGTGGATGAGACTCGTGAGCAACGAGATCCTGTTACTGTTGTGGCTGCCAAGTCTAAATGGCATATACAACACGCGGTCGCACATGGGCGTTAATCGTTTGGGGAAAGATTGAGGGTTCACACTGATAGAAGGCCCTGCGAAGCAGGCCGAAGTGTTGAGTGCCGGTCCTCGTCGCCTTCTCTGCTTGCTTTGAACACCCGAGATCTTCCTGTACCAATCACCCAGGTCGCGCTCCTGAGAGACCTTCCCCAAGGTGTGGTCTCCAGGTTTGTAAGCGCTCACCTGCTGCTTACACAGACGGATCACCTTGCAATTAGCTATGTTCAACTGAAGCAGGTTCCTTTTTGACCATTCATAAATGCAATCAGGTCAAGTTGGAATATATTTTGATCTTCATTGTTATTAAGCATATTTGGACGTCATTAGCGAAAAGCAGAAAAGTTGAGGAGATAACTTTTGCCAGGTCGTTGATAAATACCAGGAATGAGCGTGGTCTAAGCACTGAGTATTTTGGGACACCACATTCTACCTCAATCGGGTTAGAGTGATCCGCTAACGCGTACTTGAAGCTTCCGTTGGTGAAGAAATTTGCCAATCCAATCAAGAGCAGGATCTCCGATTTCGTAGCTCTGTAGCCTGTGAAGTAGGATGCGATGATCCAGGCAGTCGAAAGCTTTGGAGAAGTCCAGTTAGATGACGTCAACTCCGAACCCATCACCAGCCACTTCCGTCTAACTACCTCGTGCAATCAGTAGGTTGGTGGTGCTTGGTCGGTGTTGACGGAAGCCATGTTACTCCGGTGCCAAGATGTCGCATTTTTCCGCGTAGTCAGTTAAAGCATCAGCTGTGTTCGCTTCCATCACCTTCTCGAGCAGAGGAAGAATACTCACTAGGCGATAGTTTGCTGGATCTGAACGGTATACCGCCATTAAAAATGGGGTGATACTGCCATGCTTCCACATAATGGGGACTTGTTGGTCATCAAAGCACTTTTGGAAGAACTGTGACAGTGGTTCAGTAAGCTTGTCGGCCGCAGCCTACAGTGCCTTCGGGCGGATGTTATTTGCACACGGAGAGCTACCATCGCACATTGAGAGTAACTTAGCACAATTGGTGGGTTGAAAATTGCGCGTATAAACAATTTAGTCGGTAATGTGCACGACATTACTGAACAGGTAGAGGCTGCGAGTTCCAACATTTGGGAATATTTTAGCCGCAGGCCCTATCTGCTTCTTCGGCATGGGGGGATTCAGTGCTTCATTTTGTGAATATTGTTGATATGCCCATACAGCAGTTTGTTGTTTGCCAGGAATATTTTTGGCGAGGTACTGTGTTAAGCTACTTTGTCTTCACGGACAAGTGTATTGCAGTGGTTGCGATGGGTCATGAAATTGTCCCAAGTCTCTGAGTCGGGGTTAATCTTTTAGGCACACCATGCTTCATCGCTTATCGCCAGGCATTTTCGGGTCATGCACCTTAGAATTGAAGCCATTTTTAGGGACGAAGGGGCTTGGTCTCGGATACTCTTTTGAGGATGTCGCTGAGTGTATTAACGAACTCAGTCCAAACTTCGTCGAGTTGACTGTTGTTTGAGAATTCCCAAGCCGCTGCGTCGACGAGTCTTTTCAATACGTGGTAGCGTGTGATTGTATGAGTTAGTTTCGAGTGTTCAGATGGATACTCTACATTACACACATAGTTAAACCTTATTACTACATGGTCTTTGAGACCCAATGGACTATCCATCAATGACTTATCGACCATGAGCTCTCCATTGCTGATCACTAGGTCCAATATGGACGGTTAGTTTGCTGTCCTGAATCTAGTAGGCGTGGTGACAAGATTACACAATTAAATATTAGAGATCACTTCATGCAATTATGCTTTGAACTGCTCATTGGGTGATGCCGAAACCTCCAGATCGTGTAGATTGAAGTCCTCCGAGATGAGAATGTGACTTTACCTATTGCGTGTTACTCTGTACAAGTCACGTATCAAGCGGGAATCAATTTCCGGATCGGACATTTGGGGGGCGGTAAACGACAGCTACGAGACATGCGTCATTGTGTTTTAGTCGGTGACGGCAACAGAGTGAGTCGATAACGTGAGTTTACAGACCTTCAATTATTGCACATTACAGGTCGCTGCGGTAGTAGTGAAGGACCCCACCTCCTCTGCTGGGGCCGTCGTTCCGGTTGCGCGACTTTACGGCAATCTCAATCTCAGCATCAGTCACTCCTTATTGTAACCGATTTTCAGTAAGAGAATATAGGTCCCAAGCATTTGCAACCTGACGTAGTCGAAGTTCGATAGGTTTACTGAGGATTCTTAGGCGTTAGCGTATAAACGTGAAAGCTTCTCAGATTTAGGTAATGTTTTGGAGGTTGTGCTACTCATACGTGAAGTTTCATCGACCAGTGAGTGGTCGGCGACTAATCGATTTTTTCCATGTGTATTTGGTGAAGGACTTAAGGTCTTATCCATCACCCTCGTAGTTAGTCCTGTGTCTAATCTTCTACCTACAATGTAATTTGTCTGGTCAGTATAATCTGGTCAGTATCATTCGACACACTACTGGCACATTGTTCTTTTATAGATTCCATCGCGTTTGATTCTTTGTGTGACATGTCATTACTAGGAGGCATATCGCTGACTGTCCACAGACGACGCTCAGATGTTAGTCTGCAACGGAACATGTGCCAAATGCTTATCAGCCGTGCTACCAAATGTTTTGACTGTAGGATCACCTTCAACACTCTTGGGTCTCTTCCTTTGTAGTTCGGTGAGGTAGGCACCCGTGACACGGATTTGGCTAAACATCCTCCAAGCAAAATGTTTCACGAATATAACATCTCTGTTCTTTACCTTGGGATATTATTTCTTGCTCATCACATGCGTTAGTTTCAAAAGCACCGTGAATATTTATGGTTCTCATTTAAGTTTCGTTCTGGTTGTCCTCTAAGTTGTGGTTAAGTCGATAACGCTAGCCCCATGGGATGTCTGGAAAGATACGGATAGAGGAATGTTCATTTCTGAGAATACGTGTGGACAGTAGTACTGATTCTACTTCAGTGATGGAGTTCAGCACAACGGGCAGTGGTCTTGGCTCTCCGGAATGCTTAGACTCGGTGTGTCGCGTGATTTGCAGTACGTGCACAGGTTTCAGCACAACTCCGATTATGTTACAGAAGATACCAGTGGTTGTGGTCAGGCAACTACCTGCCTCATATTGATATAGACTTTGATTCTGGGATATTGGAGCACAGTTTAGTTTAGGAGCACAGCTTAGTACATGTAGCTGTTTTTCACCTTTCAACATGTCGTGCATAGTGATTAAAATACTCGGTACCGCAGGAAACCGGAGGGTGCTTGCACTACGAATACTCCGCTACGCTCCTCAGCATCCGATCCACTTGGGTATGCTTATTTTAAATGACAGCTCTTCTTGAAAGTAATTGTAACCCAACTTGCGCTAGTATCGGCTTGCTGCTTTTCTTTGCACTCCGTCGGGAGATTTGAAGTAGACTTACGTGTAGGTACTCCGATCAAACTGGGAGCCGCATTATTCACCTGTGAGCCACGTGTGGTAGTGGAACAGCAGTTGATGTTCTGGACTCTAAGTGTTGTGTTGCTTACGGATTTACTGGCAGTTCTTCTAGGGATAAGAGCAGCACTTACGGGGAAGGATTGGGTTGCACAGTCGGCTATGCTTACCCCAACCGTAGTGATTTTGGTGGTCAAAATTTCTTCAAATTTGGCTATTAGCTAGCTTAACCTAACCATATTTGATTTCCTTTAAAATTCCTTCCCCTCTTCTCGGCTTGAATTCAACTGTTGCCCTCATGTAAACATATCGGAGAACACAGTGAAGCTAATCGATTATTCTTCCAATATGTATCCTACAATTTTCCTCTGAATCGCTTACGCCTAGCGTACATTCAAACCGAAACCTTTGTGTCAGTTGACAAATACTAACCACGAGCGCCTCAGATACAACCGATAAATCTCCTATCCTATCTCTCTCGGCCCGTGTATACAGCTACTTAAATGAAAATTAGTAACTACCTCCGAGTTTAAAATCTTTTATAACGCCATAATATACAGAATATGTTTTGCCTAAATCAGATGCTATCTACTATAAGGGTGATTTAGTTATTACCCTTCTCTTATCCCCACACAGTTGCACATCTTCTATCCGAGGCATAGGGAACTTTATGATGCGTGCACAGAGATATCCGTCAAGAATCCATGCATTATTCTGTACCAATTCAAGACATTTTAACGGAGAACTTTGGATTTTAAAAATCATTATTTTCTAGTTATACCTGACATTTGAAATATGATAAATATTAGATAAAGCAATTTAAATTTTGGTCAGAGCGAAATGAAATGTCTCCTAAACCTGATAATATACATTATTATTTTCCTTAGCATATACATTGGGACTAGGCATGTTTTAATTATACGAAGCATATCATTGTTGGAGAAATGACTCAATAAACATATGTGCTAGTTTTGTTGAACACGATCCATTAGTGTCTTGATTAATCGTAGTCAGCTTCCGCATTCGTTGATATAGAAACAAGGTGTGTAAATAACTCACTCATTAAATAATCATCATGTGGTATTCTTGTTTCGACTTTGAACACTCTGGATATGAGTGAGGAGTTCAGACTTTTATGAATGAAAGGAGAGAGTATAGAAAAGTAAAGATTAAAACCGCGTATTTGCTTCGAATGTTTCCCAAATGCTTCACTATATTTGTGTTACTGTATGTTTTGTAATGACAGTTTGTCTCAGTGAAAGCATCATCAACAGTCAGTTTCTACACATGATGGATCCTCCACTGTCTAATACTAATAAGTATGTTACGAGTTGCTGACGGACGATGTTGTATGTTGTCCGTAGGCACACACGATCAAGTAATCATCGATGCAGCTGCGTTCGATACATTTTGAGCACAAGTTTAATTGCATGTCCGACGGTTTCTTGCGTGCCCCAGACCACAAAACCGAACAGATCATAGTCGGTGTTCAACTGGGTGGTTTTCTCCCATTCAGAAAAACTGGTGATGTTTCGGGCCGTCTGCTGAGCGACTAAATGCGCAGTGCCAAGTTATTATTTCAAGTGAATTAGCTCCGACCTCACTTATGTTCGTTCTGGTTTACTGACTTGTTAGGAACGTACACTTTTTAATAGTACATAACGAATATTGTCTGTCAACGAAATGATGTGACTTTAATAATAGGGTGTTTCGGATTCTTCGAAAAATGATAGCATAGTAAAAAGATATCTGCACATTTAATATTCTTGACCAAGCAATCCACCCGTTAGAAACACAGGTAATTCCGGAGATTTGGGACAGTTTGAGTGAAGTTGATTGCACACAAAACAAACCAACTAACTACTTTACATTCAGACACCATGGACTTACAGGTGATAAGGTTCGACGGCCACCTGGAATGAAGTGAATGACATGCTTGCTATTTGTTATAGAAATCGATGTCTTTACGCTGGCCGTATGCGAGTGATAAAATAAATATTAATATCTGAAATTCGAACTGAAAAGCATAGCAACCTAAATGGACTTGAAGTATGGAGATCTTAATCATCATCCACCGTTTGTTTTCAGTCGGGTTTAGCTTCTACCATCGAAGTGCAAAGGGTTCCTCCAATGTTGGACTGGAGCGCCTCTTGCGCTGACCCTTGGTTAACATCAGCTAGAAGTTGTTCAAAAATTCAAGTACCAATGAAGTTGTATTAGCCACTGTGTGATGGAACATGAGATCACGAATCGTATAGCAAAAGCCCGAGGCGCTTTCACTAACCATCGCCTCCCCAGCTCTGAAGGGTTAAATGTACAATGAAGCGGCGCGTTTTATTCTGATGTACGCATGTGAAACTGGGCCCCCTAGATCAACCGATATAAGGAGGCTAGTTACCTTACACCCCCGGTGCCTTCGTAATTTGGCTCACATCCGGTAGGAGCATGCATCCGTCGCACGTATTTTTCTCGGTTTCCTTATTGTGGAACATTAGCTGAGGTGTTTCCCGATTCCAACTAACGTGTATAATGATTATGAGGAATATGTCTGTAAAAATTTCCATGGTCAGATTTACTCTGCCTCATTCATATCATGATGAGGTGTTGCGGAGTACATAGCCATATGAGCAGATAATTATAAGAATTATGCAACTGGGAAACGACTATCAGTTTGCATTCTCAAACGACTAATTTTTTAACGCTTCCCATGCATCAACAGATATCAGACGTGTATGAGGTACGTGAGGACTAGCTTGAAACAACACTGTTTTAACTACACCATCTGCCTTGTCAATGGATTACTGATTGGACACAATCAATGAAATATTGTCTTATATCTTAAGATGATTACAAAGGGTGATTAAGACTTATTTTTCCTAGAGTAGTTTGGATCACATAGCTTATTATAGGTACTGATAAGCCAACTATTAATTTTGCCAACGCAACTCCCTGATGTAAGCAATGTGTCTTAATTATAATTTGGTATAGCCTCTATTGCTGCTATTGATCATTATATTTTAGTGCACTAGCATGAATCGGTATTTGTCACAAACAACCCTCAAATCTCTGTCTTAGCTCATCCATTGTTGCCTTTTGGTTTAGTCCCCACATTGATCAGTTTTAGGCTTGTCGAGGTTGATAATCAGAATAGGCATTAAACCCACGACTTATGAGCGTCATTTCTGTCAACAATGCATTTACTTAGTATACACCGAGTGCATAACCAACAAATTGATATGTTTGATGTAGCGATTCCTGGCCAAAGGGAATCAAGTTACTGTGGTATGTATACGACGCAAACAGTATTTGTACACACAAGCAAAATTTAAAATAATACACTCAGAGTGGGAAGCCGACATCAAGAAAAACACCTACCACACATATTCATTATCTCGGAGGCTATCGTAAGAAGGCACTACAGCTTGCGTGTGCTGACATAATGAAGCTGCATCTTGAAACTAAGCTTTTATTAGCGTAAATGCTTACCCTAAATTCTCTGTCAGGCGTTCCTATCTCGATGTACGTCAGTGAAATCATGGACCTGAGCATGAAAAAATTAAAGTTTGATAAAACAAGCAGCTGACATGTATCTGACTCATCGGCTCATAAACACCGAAGAAATTAATAGTACACAGCGGACTACAGGTTGTGTTATCTCAAATTTTCCCGACAAGTTGTATTACAGCTTACGGCTCTGCGCGAGCATACGGTGCTCTTAGACTGTGTACTATATATTACGGCGAATGTGGATATTTCATTCTTATGCACACGGACTGTATACCCACAAATATCACAGCGATTCATACAGTTCCTCGAATATATTCAAAAATAAAGTAGCTAAGTCGGTGAATATGTCTTACTGAGCCGATAGCAATCTCCCATCAACACTGTTGTCAGGCTATGCTACAGAACATTTGGCACATTGGATAATCCCTGTATTGCGGATAGAAAACTGTATGCGTAAACAGTCTATTTGCATGGTGGGAATAACCAAGACAAAAACATCGAAAGGAAGCTATGGTGATACAATGAAGATACTTTTGGCAAGAGTTATACGAAAAACAGCGCGTTTCCATTGTGTAACTTAATGCTTGTTGTTGCGTCATTTTAAGGCTGTATCGTATATCGAATCACACCGGCTACAACTCTTACTGTAGATGGGTTATGCTAGAGTCCATACGTTTGTTCAAAACTTGGTTAGTGTTCTTCAGCATCATGTAGATAGCTGTTAGGGTACCAGTCAGGTGACTTTAGTAACTGTCGTAAAAAGAACCTTCGCAGCTTCGGTTGATATGTAGGTTGAAAAAAGTTTGCTGTGCCTTGTGTTACCATTCCGTGAGAGCTACGATATCGATTTTGGTCCAGAGCAGCCAGGCCTGCATTGCATATTCTACATGAGGCCGCACATAAGTGTTATGTATCTGCGGGGAGACAGATGGATAAAGACGTCCCATCGCCGTCAGCGGGATACCGAAACTCAGTATAAGACAGTGGTATTAGAATAAACATTAGGATCGTTAACTTTGCCTAAAAAATTGGTACTAAGCAAGGAAAAATCTAATGAGGTCTATAGCTTTTCTTAACTTAAAATGAAAAATCCAGTGTGTTCATATGCTCAAGAGACGCTAAAAGATCCCGTGATGCCACTTTTCTTATGAAGATTTCTTACCCAGAGGGAACCCAAAATGCACAGCAGAAAGCAGTTAAACAACACTTCTATGGTGAGCTACTTACCGAATTAGTTCGTCGACATTTGTCCCCAAACAACTAGCCGTGGTTAAAACATATTTGCTGTAGATCAGTACACCTGTACAAATTCTCGGGTCCGGTTCCCATTTGGTTATCCTGACTAGCCAAGTGTACTTTGAGTTAGTCAACACGATGTCACCAAATATGCGCTTTTGCAGTCTTGCTCCTGCAGCTGTAATAAGAGAACACATGAACTAAGTTATAAGTTGTTTTATGTAAATCCAATAGGCTTCAGTTCAGGTTGAGGACGATGACACTTTCAGTCACACTCACCCTCTCTCTGTTGACTTCAAAATGAATTGCCTGTAGAGTTTCAGATTGCGTACACGTGACGTAAACACCAGGAGCATTCCTAAATTTTAGGGGGCTTAATATGTATTTGAGAAGATTCGTCGCATCCAGGATCAGCCACATATTCAGGAAAGCACTTTCCTCTATTTGTAGTGAACTTTGGCTTTCTCAAGCTGTGCGCAATGTCCTCCCACAGAGTACGAGTCTTCTAACACAAATTGCCACGGACCTGCGTATTTCTAACTGATAGAGAAAGCGCTAAACAGCTGATAGGCCATTTGTTAGATTGCATGCTCATCGTTTACATTCACGTCGTTTGCCTGAATAGGTACAGTACTAATTTGGGGAAATATGGCCACAGAACTTCTAGACCGTCCTTACCTACGGCATTATGTTTGAGTGAATCCTTAACATAAATCGTTTACAACAAGGTGAACAGTGTGCGAAAGTTATACGTGATGTCTAGGAAAACGCGGTAGAACTGTGCCTTTCAAATGGAAACATTAAGAGTAAATAACCGAAGGCTGTCTTACCAACATTAAAGATGAGACACAGCCAAATTCCGAAATTCATCTTCCTGAAATAAAAGAAAAATAGGCCGGTTGTAATAAGAAAATGCCTCCGGAGTATGTAAAGTTAGACGGGCTAAAATATTGCCTCTGCACCTGCAGGACAACATTTACAATGCAATGATACAACACTCGGATATGTGCATGAAAATGAGGACATACAAATGTTGTCGTCCACTGTAAAATTTACCAACTCTAAAGAGCAACAACAGGACCGGTGGTTGCAAGATGCCGATGGCAATCTCTTTCGAGCCTTTATATATCCTCAGAGATTGGTCAATTGAAGAAGCACCACAGACAAACCGGCTCCCAAAATCAAAAATTAAAAGTGCGTGTTCATTGGTCAATGCGTGCGACTTGTGTTTAGTTGTCGCTCAGCTGACCTAGTGAAATGCAGAGATCCACTGCACGCACTTTCAACCAAGTGTACAAATTGCGGTTTGTGGTCAAGGTACTGCGTTCGTAATTGGCCCACCAAGACAGGATGAATCAAGCTGAAGTCAAAGGAAAACCAACGCCTCTTGCAATTGGTACAGAGCAGTGACTATTGCATTATTCACCTTACAGTCTAGATGCGATAGAAATAAAATATCGGCACTGGCCAACGACTCCTTCAGTACAACGGCAGTATAACTGATCTAAAATCCCAGCTTACTCAAAGAAGCCCAATCAATCAGTGGTCCAACGACATCAGACCATTCGTTGACGCGTAACTCAGAACAGGTACCGGCTACAGTATCAGTGGGCTTGAAATGTAACGTGTTATTTCTAGTTTTTTGTTGTTCTTGGTAAAGAATGTTGGTGAAATGTAAATCCAACAACATTTTGAACTGCTGTATAGGATGCGCCTCCATCACTTGCTCTGGTAGACTGTTCCAGACATTTGCATCTTCCTTTCAAAACACAGGGTTGGAGAAGTCGCGTTATATCTGGCACCACCAACTTGTGCCAATGATTGCACTTGCTGTATTGCCTTCGCAAATGAAACAACAGCCGTAACATGTGGATGTCACCACAATGTACTAGTCGGTACGTCAAAATGAGATCGACTAGAACCCGACCATAGAGCAGTGTACAGAGATCTAGTTGCTCGCACCGATTTTATACGGCAATGCTTGAAAACCCGGAATGCACCCTGTAGCGACATGCTGGACCCATTCGTTCTTCTGCGTCTCACCAAAGGTGATTGGATAGTGGTGGGCGGGCAGTACTCTAATATTTGTCTCACAATGGAGGAGAAGAGGCGAGTGGCCACCTCTGCAGACCAAGTAAAGCAGCATGCGCTCTTCACCATACTATAGCCTATGTCTGTAGTGCACGGACTATATTTTACAACGGTTAGTAAGGACACGTACCTGGCGACCTAATAACTGTCTACCAGATGCTGAGGAACAATAACCAAGATTCCAACAAAGCCATTGACTCTAGCATAACCCATCCACACAAAGGAAGTATAGCCGATTTGTTTCAATAAACAATATAGCCTTAAAATCATGCAAACGACAAGCATTATATTACATAAACGAAACGACCTGTTTCTCGTATGTCTCTTCCGTACATCACAGGGAACCTACCAAAATTATCTTCAACGTATCACCAGGTTTTCTTTTCACTGTTTCCGTATTAATTATTCCCACCAGGTAAGTAGACCGTTTACGCATTCACTTTTCTGTCCACAAAACAGGAATAAACCAAGATACATAATATCCTGTAGCATAGCCTGACAACAGTGTTAATCAGAGACTGCTTTCGACGTAGTAGGACATAAACACCAAATGAGGTACTGTATTTTTGATCATATCTGAGGAACTGTATGGATTATCGTGCTATTTGGGGGTACACAGTCCGTGTGTATACGAATGAAATATCCACATTCGCCGTAATATATAATACAGAGTCTAAGAACACCGTAAGCTGTAATACAACTTGTCGGGAAAATTTGAGATAACACAACCTGTAGTCCGCTGTGTACTATTAATTTCTTCGGTGTTTACGTGCCGATGAGTCAGATACATGTTAGCTGCTTGTTTTATCAAACATTAATTTTTGCATGCTCAGGTTCATGATTTCACCGACGTACATCGAGATAGGAACGCCTGACAGAGAATTTATGGTAAGCAGTTACAGTAGTAAAATCATAGTATTAAGATTCAGTTATGCCATCATACACAAGCTGGAGTCAGTTTTTGCCATATGTTATAGTAGATGGCATCTAATTTAGGGAAAACAAATTCTATACATTGTGGAGTTCTAAAAGATTGTAAAGACGGAGATAGTTAATACTTTTCATTTCAATAGCTGTACACATGGGCCGAGAGCAATGGGATACGTGTTTCATCTGTTGTCTCTGAGGCGATCGTGGTTAGTATTTGTCTTCCGAATCAAACGCTTTGGTTTGAAGGTACATTGGGCGTAAGCGACTAAGAGGAAAATTGTAGGAGACATATTTGAAATAGAGATGAAGATGTTGGAAGAATAATCGAGCAGCTTCACATTGCTGCCTGTTTTATTTACATGAGGGCAACAGTTGAATTCAAGCCGAAAAAAGGAGAAGGAATTTTAATAGTGAATCAAGTTGGTTGGACTGTGCCAGCTACTAGACAAGTTTGAGGAAATGGTGACCACCAAATTTACTACGGTTGGGGTAAGCATAGCGGACTGTGCAACCCAATCCTTCCTTGTAAGTGCTGCTTTTATTCCGAGAAATTTTAGCAACACCGAAAGCAACAAGACACCTAAAGTCAAGAACATCCACAGCTGTCCCAGTATCACACGTGGCTCACATATGACTAAAGCGGTTCCCAGTTCGATCGGAGTAACTACACGTAAGGCTACTTCCAAACTCCAGACAGAGTGCGTGGAAAAAGAGCAGGCCGGCACTAGCGAAAGTTGGGTTACGGTTGCTTCCAAGAGGAGCCGTCATTTAAAATTAACTGCAACTCCAAATGAATCGGTTACTGAGGAGTGTAGCGGAGGTTTCCTAATGCAAGCACCTCTGGTTTCCCACGGTACATCTCCGAGTATTTCAATCACTAACCGCGACATATCGAAAGATGAAAAAACAATACATGTACTGAGCGTACTGTGCTCCAATATACCAGAATCAAAGCCGACATCAATAAGAGGAAGGCAGTTGGATGACCTAACCCAGTGGGATATTATTAGTAGCCTAATCGGTGTACTCCTAAAACCTGTTCACGTGGTGTGTATTAAACGACACCCCAACTCGAAGTATTTCAGAGAGCCAAGACTTCTGCGTATTGTGCTGAACTCCATCACTGAAGTAGAATCAGTACTACTGTCGACAGGTAGTCTCAGAAATGAACAATGCTCCATCTGTATCTTTCAAGACTTTCCATGAGTCGAGTGTTATGGAGTTAACCGCATCTTAGAGGGCTACGGGAAGGAAAATTCAACCAGAACTATACTTGTTCACAGGGTTCCTCAAAGTGAAGCATGTGATGAGCATGAAATAATAACTCATGATAAAGAACATTGGTGTTATATTCGTGAAACACTCTGCTTGGATTATGTGTTAGTCAAATCAGCGTCACGACTGCCTACCTCACCGAACTACAAAGGAAGTGGCCTGAGAGTGTGGAACGTGATCCTTCAGTCCAAATATATGGTAGCACGGATTCTAAAGTGCTGGTACGTGTTCCGTTGCACGCTAAAGTCTGAGGTTCGGCCAAAGACAATCAACCATATGCCTCCTAGAGATGATATATCACGCGAAGTACCAAACGCGATTGGATATATAAAATAACAGTGCTCCAGTATCGTGTCGCATGAGCCCATACAACCTGTAGAAGATGATGTTGACCAGACACCATTCACTGTACGTCGAAGATTAGACACGGGCCTGACTACACGGATGATGAATAAGACGTTGAACCATTTTCCAAATACACATCGAAAAACGAATAGTCACCGGCTACTCACTGGTCAGCGACACTTAACGTATTAGTAGCACAACCTCCGAAACAATACTTAAATTTAAGGAGCTCTCACGTTTATACGCTAACTATCAAGACTCCTCAGTAAACCTAACGAACTTCGACTACGTCAGGTTGTGAATGCTTGGGACCTACATTCTATTACCGAAACTTGGTTACACCAAGGTGTTACTGATGCTGAGGTTGAGGTAGCCGGAATGTCACTCATCCGGAACGACGGCCCCAGCAGCGATCTGCGATATGTAATAGTTGTTGATCTGGAAACACACGTTCCCGACTCACTCTGGTGCCGTCACCGACTAAGACACAATGACGCATGTCCCGTGATTGTCGCTTACCTCCACAAATGTCCAATCCGGAAATGGATTCTCGCTTGATCCGTGGTCTGTACAGAGTAACAAGCACAAGGTGCAGTCACATTCTCATCTCCGGAGACTTCAATCTTACACGATCTGGAGGTTTTGGCATTGCCAAGTGAGCAGTACAGAGCAGAATTGCATGAACTGACCGCTAATATTCCCTTCTACAATCATGCTGCCATGCCCACTAGATTCTGGACGGCAAACAAATCGTCCATATTGGACCTTGTGTACTCGAATGAAGAGCTCATGGTTGACAAGTTGTTGATGGATAGTGAATTAGGTCTCATGAACTACGTAGTAATGACTTTCAACTATGTGTGTTTAAGCAGAATATGCATCTGAACCCTCAGAACTAACTCATACAATTAAACGCTACCAGGTATTGAAGGATCTCGTCGTCGCAGCGGCTTGAGAATTCTCAAACAACAGTCACCTTGACAACGTTTGGACAGGGTTCATTAACAGACTCAACGACATCCTCAAGACGTTATGAGAGATCAAGCCTCTTCGTCTCTCAAAAATGCCTTCAATTCTATGGAGCAGGACTTGAAAATGCCTGGCGATATGGAATGCAGCATGGCGCGCCTACAAGATTAACCCAGACTCAAATGCTTTGGGCAATTTTGTGACCCGTCGCAACCAATGAACTGCATTTGCCCGTATGCACAAATTAACTTATAAACGGGGCCTAGCCAAAAAGTTCTTGGCAAACAGCAAACTGCTGTATTGGCATGTCAACAGTCTTCGTGAAGTGAAGCATGGAATCCCTCCGCTAGCCAAGGCAGGTGGTAGAGTAAACAGCGCCGAAGAAGCTACATTACGCCACATACTGCAGTTTCAGCCTTTTGGGCATGGTCAGTAGTGCGCCCCCATCGCATCCAACTGGATTGGAACCCATGA